CCTGGCTGTGACGTGTCGTGGTAGTCGCGTCGCGTCGGGATTTTTTTTATTTTTATTTTTATTTTTTCTACCGAGAGGAGAAATTTAGAGACGCACTTCCATCCGAACGGATTGCGTGTGTAGCATGCATGTTGCTGTGTGTCTTTCGTTCCTCCATCCGTCCGTCCATCCCCATCCATGCCCGTCCATCCCTCAGCCAGGACAAGGGCAACAAGTTGGAGATCTCTCACTCCTCGTCGTCGCTCTCTGCCTATATCCCAACCCACCTTTCCCCGCTCCCCGTGCCTCCCCCTCCGTCCCTCCCCTTCCCTCCCCGTTCCTCCCCCGTCCATCCCCCGCCGTCCATCCACATCCCTCCGCGTCCCTCCGCTCCCCTTCGCCTTCCCTCCGCGTCCGCCAGGCCAAGGGCAGCAAGGTGGCGATCGAGGGGCCGCGCTGCAGCCTGCGCACGCGCAAGGCGTACAGCGACAGCATGGTGGACTACCTGCGCATGACCGCACTCAACCTGCCCGCTGCCATCCTTGCTCTCCTCGTGTGAGTTCTGCCACCGCCTCTCCCTGTGCCTCACAGTGCAAGCCATGTAAGGGCCACTGGCAGCTGCCTGCCCATACCCCTCTCCACGTGCCAGGCGTACAGCGACAGCATGGTGGACTACCTCCGCATTACCGCCCTTAACCGCTGCTCCGTTGCTCCATCACATCAGCCTCGCCTGAACCCCCAACATTCACGGCAGTGCCCCTGCCCCTTTTCGCCTCATGCACAGCACATGCTGGTCCTTTCATCCCGCATGCCGCCTCGCAGTCCTTTGTTCCAGGTCCAATCATCATTCCTCTGTGATTCCCTCCCTTTTCCGTTCCCACTCCCTCTCTTCCTGCCGTCTCGCCCTCCCTATCCCTGCATTCTTCGACTGCCTCTCTCCCCGTCTCGCCTCTCTACAGCGTTTTCTTCTTTGATGATATCAGCGGATTCGAAATCACCTACCTGCTCGAGGTAAATATTAGAGAACTCCAACCTTTTCACGGTATTTAGTAAAAATCACCTACCTGTTCGAGAAATCTACCCTGCTTTGCCATGCCACACTTCCTATCTTTCTCATCCTGGCACTTTTCCACGCTTCCTAACTCGTCCATGCAACTTGCGCTCTCCTCCCTGCCACTTGCGTGCTCTCCTCCCTGCCACTTGCGCACTCTCCTCCCTGCCACTTCCTCTCTACACCATTCGTTGAGCCATGGAGTTTCCCTTCACAATCTTCGTGCTGCTGCGCCTGGGGTATCGTTCCAATAAATTGACTCACCTTTCCATTCTCTCTCTGTCTCCATCTTTTCTCTTCCACCCTCTCCCACCCTCCCCTACCCCCCCCCAACCCTCCACTAACTTCCCCTATCCTCCCCTACCCTCCCCTATCCTCCCCTACCCTCCCCTATCCTCCCCTACCCCCCCCCCACCCTCCCCTAACTTCCCCTATCCTCCCCTACCCTCCCCTATCCTCCCCTACCCTCCCCTATCCTCCCCTACCCTCCCCCACCCTCCCCCACCCCCCTGCACCGCTCTCGCTCAGCTCCCGGAGCCCTGGAGTTTCATCTTCACGTGGTTTGTGGTGCTGCCCGTCGTATACCTGCTGAGCCAAGCAATCACCAACGGCATTTTCAAGGACTTCCTCATTCTGCAGGTATGGGCGCATGGGTATGCATGGGCGCATGGGTGCACGCGCACATGGTGCATGAGTGATTGTACCTGCTGAGCCAAGCAATCACCAACGGCATTTTCAAGGACTTCCTCATTCTGCAGGTGAGCAGCATGCCAGGAGGGCCTCCATTTTCATGCATGGTTGCATTGTCTCATGGGGGTATGGCCGCATGGGCGCTTGGTGCATGAGTGAACGTACCTGCTGAGCCAAGCCATCACCAACGGCATTTTCAAGGACTTCCTCATCCCGCAGGTGAGCAGCATGCCCAGACATCCCCAATTCCCTGATGCTATTGTATGGGCTCATGGATAAGGCGTTTGGGGGCATGGCTGCGTGAGTGGCTGCACGTACTGGCTGGCATCTTCAGGAGCTCTTGCCCGCTCCTCACTACCATTCCCCTCCTGCTGACCCCTCCACTATTCTCGCCCCACTACCCCTGTTTACCTCGAATGGTCTGCTGCTAACCCCCCTCTCCTGTTAACCACTCTGTTCCCACCCACCTTCCCCTGAGACCTCTGCTTCAACCACCCCTGATTGCTCTACACTCTCTTCCCCTTTCTCTTTCCCCCTCTCTGCTTTCTCTTCCCCCCCAATTTCCCGGAGCCCGTGACCCACCTGCCCCATCTTACCCTCCCTTCTTTGCCCACATCCTCCCCCCTCCCACTCTCAGGTTCTGTGCCCAGTTTAACCTGCTCACGAATCCCCTCTCTTTCCATCCCTCTCCTCTTCCACCCGCAGGGCCCGTGCCCCAACTGCGGGCACAAGAACGTGAGTTTCTTCGGCACCATTCTCACAGTCAGCACGGGGCAACGGGTCAACCAGCTCAAGTGCGAGGGCTGTGGCTCCTCCATCTCTTTCGACCTCGACACCCGCAGAATCACGCTCGAGGCCCTCCCTCCCGTTTCAGCCAACAAGGTATGGTACCTCGACTGTTCCATGTGTCTTGTCCTCCCTGTGCACGGCTTGTCTGTGCGAGGGATGATACTGAGCTCGCTTTACTGATAGTGTTAAGTGGATCTTGATTTTTATGGCAATTCTGTCTCTGGTTGGGTTTCCACTGTTCTTCTCACTTGTTCAGCTTTTCCCAATCTGTCTTGCAGGGAGCACCCAAATCTGCATAATTACCAACGTTAATTATGGTTGTCAATATTGCCCGATGCTTGTTGTAATCAACAGTATTCCCATGGTTGAATTCGGCTCAAATGCCCTCTTATTCACTATGCACAGTCCTCTGATTCCAACAACACTGAGGAATTAGCAATAATTTCCCTGCCTTTTCAAGTATGCTTTGCTAGGAGATGTATCACAGTAAATATAATGCCCAGATGACTACAGTCTTAATACTATTGGAATCATATGCTAAAACAATACATAAACACATACCTTTCCTTAAGGGGCATCCGTACTTGTAATCCAGCTACATATGTAACGTGAACCCCCCGAAACTGCAGAGTTAATGAAGATCGCAATTCACTATTTACTCATGACAGTCGGAAAGCTGCAGTCAGCTGTCGACGCGTCGACACATAGTGCTGTACCATTCTATTCTTCTCTGTTAAACTTGGAGAAAACAAATCGGTTGCCCCGAAAAGAACATCGTAAAAGCTCAGTTGGGTTTCTCTCTCTACTGAACCGAGTTCTGCTCAGCTGTTATTTCGCCAATAAACAATTAAGTGAAAGACCCCCCTCTCCCTTGGTTTTTGGGAACGAAATGAGCATGCTACCTGAACAGGTGTACTTCCAGAATCGCGTAAAACGTTAGGATGGTCAGGGTCAACGCAGTTGCCTTCCCGCACGTGCTTGCTGCGAAGCTCAAGCACACGGCATGTTCCGCTCCGTGTTTTGTGTGTTTGTGTGTGTGTGTGTGTGTGTCTGTGGGTGTGGGTGTGGTGGGTTCGCTCGATTCGATTTGGGCATCCGCAGTCAACCTTGTTGCTTGGTTTCATCAATCTGTGTCCCGCTTGTCATGCCAGATCAAAGGATTCGTCTCGCGGGCAGACCTGCCCGAATTCCTAGTTCTTATACAGTTCACTGTTCGGAGTGTCATGGTTAAGCAACTGTAGTCATAAATGCATCACCGCTCTCCACACGAGACCAGTGTTTGTACATTTTATATTCCTTGTACTTTTCCAGTCTGCCCGGGTGTGAGTTAGGCCTACCCTTCACAAAGCAACGACACTACGTACTTTAATTTCCCCTGTGTGAACATGAGGGGTTCCGTGCTGGAAGGGTCTGAGCAATATGCAAGTACAGTTCTACTGTCAGCAATTACGTACTGAGTGTCGGAATAATAGGAGAACAAAACTGTTTGGAACCAGGAACTACACCGAAGGAACAAATGACAACTGTTTGAAAGTACACGTCAAACCTGCCGGTTTTTTCACGGCCGTCGTCCAAGTCGTCCCAACCTACCAACCGCATCCTAGCAAGTCGTCGTCGCCGACAGCCTTGGAAGTCGTCGCTGGGTCGTCACCGCCAACACTGTACACTCAAAGGAACGCGCGTGGTTAGGGGACAAGCATAGGACAAAGTTGGGTAAGGGGCCGAACTTGTCAACCAATCAATGATGATTCACCGTGTCAATCTGTAAAATTATTCGTTCCTTACGATGGTCTGGCGATTCTTGGGATGCGGTTATGCTATCGCATGCTGCGAACCACACAGCAAAAGACATGCCATCCCAATGGCAAGCCGTAGCGCGATCCGTCATTCCCGCCCTAGTCCATGGAAAAGGAAGTGCCCCCCCCCCCCCCCAACCCAAGCCGGAGAACGTGCCTGAGCATCCAACAAACCAACCAACCAACCAACCATAGCAGCTGAAGCAGCCCAGCATTGCAGCAACACAAAGTACGAACAAACAAACACGATTTTTGCACCAGCGCCAGCGCCAAACAAACACGATTTTTATTTTTATTTTTTATTTCCAGCCCCAAACCAACACAAGCCTCCCTCGTGCAGAGGGGCACCAGAGCAGAGCAGACCCAAAACTGCCAGTGCCAATAAAGGGAGTATGCTGCTGTCTGGACTATACACATTTCCCCCACCCTCCAATTTTCCCACCCCCGCCTATCACAACAACTTGTTGCAAGCCAGCAAGCAACCATTTTCAATCCAGCAATCTTGAAGCAGCAACCATTACCATCCAGCAAAACCCTAGCAACGCGCCTAGCCGCAGAGTACCAACAGCGAAGCTACGGTAGCTTTCTTTATCGCACCGTACGACATTCAACCCGGAGCATATTAATTACTAATCAAGACAGCAGCAAAGCGTGTAAAGGGAAAAATGTCAACGGAAGATGATGAATCTCCCTCTATGGAGGTGCAGCTGGAATCGTTGGGAGATTTGTGCAGACGGCTTCAGGAAGCGGCGCGGCAGGCGCATTCCAACAGCAAGGTGCTCTTAAAGCATGCGGACACCATGGTGCTGCGCGTCGAGATCGCCAAGCGCAGCGTCGACCTCGTAGACCATGAATTCGACCAGGCGCTCGGAAGGTAATGCCATGCAAATAGCTGAAAATCTCATGAAAAGATGAAGAAATGTACAACATAAATGAAGAAAAGCCCACAAACAATAGCAAAAAAGAAAAGAAAAAAAAGGGAACATCTTTCAACTACCCGCTCCAAGCCCTCATTTCTCTCTTCGCTCCTCGCTATGCCCCATTCCAGGTATACACATTTGATACCCTCAAGCTCCGTGTAAGGCAATTTTAAGGAGTGTAGGTCTGATTAAGGCCTATGAAACTTCGCGAAGTCCTGATTCCTCCCCAGATTTGATGCCTCATGCTTTAGACCACTGGACCGGTCATTAGAGCTGCAAAGTTTAGTTGGATCAGGTTTATCCTCACTGCTTCCTTCCGCCTCTCTCCCCTTCCCCCCTCCCCTTTTGGAGCCTTGAATTCTGCCGGTGGGACTGATCCGCACCACTGAACCAAAGTCATACGAATGTGCAAAATTTCCTCCTTGGATCAGGCCCGACCCCACTCCCCCGCCTTCCCCAGCTCCTTCCCCCTCCCTCCACATCCCCCCTCCCCTTTTTGGAGACACCACTGTTTTATATGGTGGAACAGATCCGTAACGAAACATTTTGCTGCGTGTTGCGCGGGTTACCGCATTCGGGTTCTCGTTACAACCAGTCGCTGCACAGTGACCAGCTATGGCTCGAACCCCAGGCTCTGATACCAGTATAACGCCTCGTGGCTAGACCTCGGGTGAAACAAGGGTAATAAAAAAGTGCAGCAGCATTTTTTAAATATCCCTCGTGAAAGTCCTCACATCATCATGCCAAACCCATCCCTCTCTGCTTTTCTCCCCACAACCCCCCCAGCGAGGCTCAAGAGCTCGTGAAATCCGCCATCCCAACGCTCGCCATGTGTCAAACAGCCCTTTTTAGAATCAACTAAAAGATCGCCTCACCACACGTGGATTTTATGTGGAAACATTGTTTGTTGCCTGATAAACTTGGTTGCAGCCTGCAAGTGTTAGTGGTGCGTGCGAGCGCGACTTCTGAAGTTGCCCCCTGGCGGAAAACCGAGCCCTTTCTACCCACAAACCCCAACCCTCTACTAGCGATGCGACAGGCGCTCAGGAGCTTGTGGAAGCTGCGCCGCATGACATGCGGGTTATATGTGGAAAGATTGTTTGAGAATCGGTTGTAACGTGCGAGGGTTACAGGTAGTGCATGCAAAAACCTGAGCCCTTTCTCCCCACAAAACCCAACCCTCCACCAGCGACATGACAGAGGCACAAGAGCGCGTGGAAGCTGCCATCTCATCCCTCAGTGTCAGCCCAAGCTGCCTCCTGACAAAAATCTGAACCCTTTTCCCCACAAACCCCAACCCTCTACCAGCGACGTGACAGAGGCTCAAGAGCTCGTGGAAGCTGCCATCTCATCACTCGCCACGTGTCAGACTCTCCTTGGCTCGTCGTCCGTCCCTGTCAGCGACTCTCCTCGCAATGCTTCTGGCCACAGAGTACCAGGCTCTGCTATTGCTGCCGGCGCCACCGCCGCCGCTGCCCCTGTTGCAGGAGTGGCAGGAGGTGCAGTCATGCGGGCATCTGCACATGAAGCTGCAGCTAATGTAGGCAACCCCACAACACCAGGACAACTGAACATTGTGCCAACACCAGCGGACCCACAGCAACAGGCTGAAGCTGCAGAAGCAACATCGTCACCCCCACCACCATCCTCATCAGCTGCAACTGCTGCAACAGCGGCAGCATCGGAAGCAGCAGTGGCAGCAGCAGCGGCAGCAGCACAGCGGCAAACACAGGCCGAGGGACCTCAGGAGGAGCACCGCTACAACTGGAACCCCCACAACCACTTTCCATACGGGTATGTCAATATTGCTGCTGCGTCCTACCATGGTAACGCTTCCTTACCCATGGGAACAGGTGACATGAGAATTGCTAACGCCTTTGCTGCTCATGCTGGTGCTTCAGCTCTTGCAAGTGCTCTGCCCCTTCCCAGGGGATCATTACCCCCTCCTTTATCACACGCACAAGGAGAAGAAGTAGCAGCAGGGGGAGGAGAAGGAGGAGGGGGGGGGGAGAGGGGGAGGGGGAGAAGGAGTGGGAAGGGGAGGAGGAGGAGGAGACGAAGAGGGAGGAATAGTGGGAGGGGGAGGGGAAGGAGGAGGAGGGTCAGGAGGAGGAGAAGCCAATGCGCTGCCAGGCTCCAGACAAGCATCAGGTACGAAGTGGTTCCAGGGTTTTCCAGGGAGTGGTGGTACACCTCCTGGGGGAACAAGAGGAACGGATGCTTCTTCCACCTGGACTGCAACTCGAGGGGTAGCAGCTGGGAGTTCTGAAGCAGGGCTGACAGCTGCAGGGGTTGCTGCCGGTGGGCACAGCAGTCTGGGAGGACTGGAGGCGGCTGGAATGGCTGGGGCAGGTGCAGTCCCATACAGGGCTGTAACAAGAGGAACGGATGCTTCTTCCACCTGGACTGCAACTCGAGGGGTAGCAGCTGGGAGTTCTGAAGCAGGGCTGACAGCTGCAGGGGTTGCTGCCGGTGGGCACAGCAGTCTGGGAGGACTGGAGGCGGCTGGAATGGCTGGGGCAGGTGCAGTCCCATACAGGGCTGTAGCGGCATCAGTGCCATACAGTGCTGTAGCACCGCTGGTGCCATACAGCTCTTTAGCAGGGCTGACAGGGGGGCGGTTGGAAAAGGGAGGAGGAGGCAGGGCAGGGGAGATGGATGATCTGGCTGCACGGGTGAGTCTGGAGACAGCGCTAGGGGACAACCTGATAAGGCAGGCTCTTGCTTTCCTGCAAGAGGAGGGAGACGAAGGAGAGAGGGTAGCAGGTGGGATGCATGGGGCGGGAGGGGCGGGGGGAGTCGGAGCAGGAGGGGCGAATGAGGAGGCAGCGGCTGGGAACCAGGGGGGTCAGAGCGTGAGTGGTGGCAGCGGCAGCGGGATCAGCCTTGCCGCTGCAGCCGCAGCTGCAGCAGCACCAGCGGCATCACCAGCAGCAGCAGCAGCGGCAGCAGCAGCAAACAGCCATGCTGTTGCTGCTATCACTGGCAGGGCTGCTGCGCCTGGGACCATTAGCAGCCTTGCGGCCTTTCCCAGATTCAGCACCAACAACAGGACTCCCTCTGGTGCAACCGGTGGCATAGCTGCTAGCGCTGGTGGTGGCGGTGGTGGTGGCGGTGGTGGTGTTGCTGTTGCCCCTGCCTTGGCAGCTGCTGGTTTCTCAAGAACTGGACTGGCAACGCATGGCGGAGAGTCAGACAGGAAACGAGCAGCAGAGGAGGATCCGGACGGGCAAACCCTCATCCCCCACAAGCGGCAGCGTGCGCCTGCAAAACCCTCCGCCTCCGAAATCCCTCCGGACGGATGGGAGTGGCGGAAGTACGGGCAGAAAGCTACACTCGGGCAGCTGTACCCGCGGAGTTATTTCCGGTGCGCGTTCCGGGGCGGGGGTCCGCCATGCATGGCGAAGAAATGGGCCGAGCGGTGCAACGAGAACCCGTCGAACTGGAGAATTAAGTACATGTCAGAACATAACCATGCCAAGCCACCGCCTCGGCCGGTTACGATCACCATAGTGCATGATGGCATGGGGGTGGATACGTGTGGAGGGGCGATTGGGGCTGTAGGGCCACCGTTGCCAGCACTCAGTGGCACGTCTCCGCTTGCCCTGCCTGGTACTCCTGGCTCTGCTGGTGCTGGTGCTTCTGGTGGTGCTGCTGGTGCTGCCGCTGGTGGTGGCAGTGCTGCTGGTGCTGCCGCTGGTGGTGGCAGTGCTGCTGGTGGTGGCAGTGCCGCTGGTGGTGCTGCTGGTGCTACGGAAACTAATGCTACTACTGTCCCAAGCTCCCCGCTGCAGCTGCTGTCGGCCTCATGGCCTGGAAACGTGGAGGAAAACACACAAGGTGCTGCTGCTGGTGATGGCACTGTTGGTGGTGCTGCTGCCACTGGTGTTACTGATGGTGGTGGTGGTGCTGCTGATGCTGCTGCTGCTGCTGATATGGATACCGGGAGTGATGAGGAGGGAAGAAGCAAGGAGTTACATACACCCGACCAGGGAGGTTCGGCCGAACGTGAGCCACGGTCAGGGTCGAGAGAGGGCAGAAGTGGGAGGGAGAGCGCAGGGGATTTGGGTCGGGCAGAGGAGAGCAGCACTGGTGTGAGTCCACCCTCTCAGGCAAACCCACCTGGAGCAAACCACCCAGGGTCATACCTGGCGGGGTCACACCCACCTGATTTGACTAAAAAATCCCCTGAAGCGCAGTTGCCTGGGGTGTCCCAACCAGATGCAAGGCAAAACAGTGAAATGAGAGGTGCTGATCGAAGGGAAGATGAAGGGGGGGAGGGAGAAAAGGGGGGAAGAAGGGCAAGTGGGGGACGTGGGGCATGAGCAGCAGCATCTGCATGGGCAGCAGACGACAGGCGGAGAGTCGAAGCACGAAGACAGGCGAAGAGCGACGCAGGACGAACCAGATACCAGAGGCACGAGTGTGTCCTGCGTCCAGGTATCTGGTTCGCCAAAGAGTGCAGGTGGTGCACAGAGGCAGGAGACTGCTCGAGGTGCAATGGTACCAACAGCAGCAACCACAACAGAAACAACAGCAGCTATTGCGGAAACAGCATTACGGGGAGTGAGACCTGCGGTGTGCACGCCAAACATGGCTGATGCAGCTGCAGCACCGATGGCACTAACTCCCATTACAGTTACTTTAAGGGGGGCTGCAGCAGCAGCAATAGCAGGATCGTCGGCAGCAGCAGCAGCGGCGGCGGCGGCGGCACTTGCAGGTTCGGCAGCAACAGGTGGCACAGAGAGAGACGAAGCAGCAGATAGCGGCTTGCTCATAGACTGCCCCCACAGAGGCTCGTTCATTCCGAGCCTAGGCTCTTGGATCGACGTGGGCGCCGTACCTATGTGGGCCACTCCCGGGGTTAATGACTCGTCGAGCTCCGCGATTAGCCGGGCTGGTGTGGACCAATGGCAGCTGGTGGCTCAGGAAATTGAGGTGCCTTCTCCTGGAATGCTGGCCGAGATGAATGCTGAGAGGGGGATGATGGACGATATGAGGAGGGAGGATGGGGACGAGGGAGAGGGATGAGTAGGAGGGAGAGGAGTGGCGATTGTTGAAGGCTAAACTGCTTGGGCATTGAGGTGCCTTCTCCTGGGATGCTGGCCGAGATGAATGCTGAGAGGGGGATGATGGAAGATACGGGGGGGGAGCATGGGGACGAAGGGGAGGGATGAGTGGGGGTAGGAGGAGGGTCAGGGGAGAGAGCGGAATTTGTTGAAGGACTTGCTGCCTGGTCATTGAGGTTCCTTCGCCTGGGATGCTGCCGAGATGAATGCTGAGAGGGGGATGCTGGAAGATATGAGGAGGGAGCATGGGGGCGAACGGGAGGGATGAGAATGAGGGAGATGGGAGGAAGATGATGGGTGAAAGCATGGAATGCGGTGGGATTTGAAGCCAGGGTATTGAGGTGCCTTCCCCTGCCATGCTCATGCTGGCATGCTCATGCTGGCATGCTCATGCTGGCAGCGATCAGTGCTGAGACATGGATGATGGAGGATATTGGGGGGGAGCATGGGGGTGAGGAGGAGGGATGCGAATGAGGGGATTGGGAGGAGGGTGAGGGCTGGGGGTGGATATTGGTGAAGGCTTTTTTGGCCAGGGAGTGGCATGCCCTGGGATGCTGGCAGGGAGGGATGAGGGGGAGGGATGAGGGGGAGGGATGAGGGGGAGGGATGAGGGGGAGGGATGAGGGGGAGGGATGAGAGGGAGGGATGAGGGGGAGGGATGAGGGGGAGGGATGAGGGGGAGGGATGAAGGGAGTGCGTGGAGGAGAGAGAGAGCAGGGATTGTTGAAGGCTTGACCGCATGGGTGGTGAGGTGGGGGGAGGATATGAAGAAAATGGAGGGAGGCAGGGGATGGGGAGAAAATGTCGCTGTTAACTAGTGGGTGGTTTTGGGAATCAAGGAATGATTACAAGGCACAACCTCTAAGGTCATTGCAGCTCTTTTCCCGGCCCTTCTGCTGAACGTTTCCTCACAATTATCCAGGAAGGGGGTAAGGCATGAAACAAGACCCCTTCAGGCCACCCCTTCAAGCAGCCGTTTCAGCAGCTGTGCAACACCCGTCGCCTGTCCTCTCGTTGATGACGTAAGGCGACGGGTGTTGCACAGGGTAAAATAACGTACGGCTGCAACTGCTACGCAGGGGATAGCCGATGAGAAATTTCTACTAGGGGATAGCAGGGGTATCAGAGAAAATTAACAATGAATTGTTGAAAAGGCTTGTTTGTACTGCTTGGATCTCTGACTGGGCCTGACTGACTGGGCCTGCCAATTTCATACCCCGTGTCCTGTAGGTGGGTTCTCTGGTGCATGATAAACAGAGACTATTGGCATGGCACTGCAAGCAGGCCGTCAGATTCACTTTTAGAGACGTTGATGCATCAGGGTCCCTGTGAAAAAACCTGAATTTTTAGGGTTCCTAAAAAAAAAGGCCAGAATTTTCAATCACATTATGCATTTGTATACCTAAGGGCAGGCCCTATGTTATCAGGATAAATTATCCTGAATGTCCTGAATTCAGGATAGGTGTTGTGGGTCTGTCCTGACAATCAGCCCTGATGATTCAGGACAGTATTGAATCTCTGTTACGGGTGCAATGAATCGAAGTAGCGAGAATTGCACTAAGGTGTCAAACGAGTACAAAATGTGAGCGAAGGCATGAGTGAACATTTATACGCGAAACATGCAAACGGTACCGCGGTGCGTGCGAGCTAGCTAGTGCTATGCTGGAAGCGAGGCTCGGGCTAGTCCCGAAGCGTAGGCCGACACGGCCGGTCCAGCAGTGCGAGGTTTGGGAAAACAGTGCGCGCGAAGTCGGCGAAGCCCCGTTAGCAGTAACGGGCGAACAACGGCTGCTGCTGTACGCGATGTTGCAGGGCGCGCTAAGGAATATCGAGAAAATTCCTTACACTACCCCCCCCCTCAAGAAGCCCCCTCCGCTACGCGAGTGCGTGCATATCGCGGAAACCCCGGCTCCTCAGGTACACTTGCAGGGCAGGGTGGTTTTTGATGTTGGCCAAGGGCACCCAACTATCCTCAGTTGGCGTGCGGTCCTTCCAGCGAACGAGGAATTCAATCCTCCTGATTCCCGTGGGGTGTCGAATCCGATGGCTCAGGATTTTTTCGGGCTCGATGATCGGCTCCGATGCAGGGCGAGTCATGGATGGCGGGCGGTGACGAGGCAGTTGGCTTGTGGTTGGGATGTAGGGGCGAAGTAGGCTGACGTGGAATGAAGGGCTGATGTACCAGTCCGTCGGCAACAGTAGGTGAGCTGTTACTGGGGTAATCATGTGGCTGATTTGGAATGGTCCACAGTAGCGGGGTCTCAATTTCGGTACGACGGGCAGTCTTAGGTTATGTGTGTCGAGTAGTACATAATCTCCTGACTGGTACGTGACTTGGCGGCGGTGGCGGTCAGCGTTGCGCTCAGCGATGACGTTGGCTTTTTAATTGCTTCTGCGGCTCTAGTGCGGGCAGCTTGCAGAATTTCGACGAATTGCTGTGCACGTGGTGTTGGGTTGTCCGGACTCGGCGTCATGGGCACTGTAGGGTTTTGCCCGTAGTTCAGGTAGAAAGGGGACTGCTGCGTCGTCGCTGACGTGGCGTTGTTATACGCGAACTCGATCAGCGGCAGCTGCTGCTCCCAAGTGGTCGGGTCGTCGCACGTGGCACGAATCAACTGCTCCATTGTCTGATTCGTCCACTCCGTTGACTGTCGGTCTCGGGGTGGTACGGCGAGCTGAACTGTAGCCTTGTCCCGAACTGCTCCCGGAGGTTCTTCATGAAGTTGCTGGTGAACTTCGTGTCGCGGTCGCTGATTATCGCGGCTGGTATCCCGTGTAGTCGAACGACGGCTGTGATGAACAGGCGAGCGGTTTCTTCGGCTGAGATCGATTTCTTGCACGCAGCAAAGTGTGCCATCTTCGCCAACCTGTCAACGACGACCATAACTGCGTCGTTACTCCCAGGGTTCGAAGGTAACCCCGTAACGAAATCCATTGTAACCTGCTGCCAGGCGCGTTCAGGCGGTGGAATCGGCTGCAACTGACCCGCCTTTCCTTTTCGCGAGCTCTTCATCACCTTACACGTAGGACACGAGCCCATGTGGTGCTGTACGTCGGTCAACAGCTCCGGCCAGTAGTAATACCGCTGCAGTTGCTGTCGCGTTTTTTCTACCCCGAAATGTCCCGAGGTAATCCCGTCGTGTGCCTCCTGCGGTAACAGTTCCCTCAGTAGTGAGTACGCGGGTACCTAGATGCGGTTGGTGCCTGTTTTTATGTAGTAGACTCCTTTGGCCTCTGCCAGTTGCTGTGAATTGCCGGTTGTGAAAAATGGGTCGGTACTGTATCCGTGGGTGAATAGGCCTGTGAACAGCGGGTTGGTTTGGGCGAGTAGGATGGCGTGGAGTTGGGCGGTGGGGCGTGTGAGTGCGTCGACGATGTTGGATGTGCCTTCTTTGTACGTGACCGTGTAGTGGAAGTTGGACTCCAGATAGTCCAACCAGCGGATCTGTCGTGGGTTGAGATTCGGTTGGGCGCGAAGGTACTGTAGGGATCGGTGGTCTGTCCGTACTGTCACGTCTGCTCCCGTGAGGTAACATCGCCACACCTTGAACGCGTGCATGATCGCCAGCATCTCGCGGTCGTGTATCGGGTAGTTGCGTTCGGGCGGGTGAAGCTTGCGGGACTCGTACGCGATTGGCTGAAGGCCGTTCCAGAAGTCCTGCAGCAGTACTGCTCCCACAGCGATGTCGCTAGCGTCGGTGATCAGCTCGAATGGACGGTGCGGATCTGCGATGTGAAGCACGGGCGGTGAGCACAAAATATTTTTGAGGGTCGAGAAGGCAGCTTGCTCTTTCTCCCCCCACGTGTACCCAACCCCCTTCCTCAGCTGGTCGGTCAACGGGGCAGTCAGCTTCGCCATGTCGGGGACGAACCGGCGCACGTAGTTGACGAACCCCAGAAAACTCTGCAACTCGGTCAAGTTGGTCGGCGCGTGCCATGATTGAATCGTCGCGATCTTTTTCGGGTCTATTTCCACTCCTGCAGCTGAAATAATGTGTCCCAAAAATTCCAGTCGGTCCTGTAAAAACTCACACTTAGACGCTTTTGTTAGTAGGTGGTTCTCACCCAGTATCTTAAAAACTGCTTCGATGTCCTGTAAGTG